AGTCTCTATAGCAGCTAATTATTGTGCAAGGATCTTCTAGGATAACTAGTAGTAGTTCTAGGGCTTCCTATCCTCTATTATTACTAACTAAGGCTCTAACTAGTTAGGATCTTTCTAGATAACGTTGTGCTAGATAATAAAGATAAACTAGTTACTGTCTACTGCATACCACCCTTAGACAGACAGCAGGACAGAGCGGGCAAACTAAGAAGTGTAGGTGGTGCTACGTATAATAGTATGCTTTAAGTAGACTAACTAGCCTAACTACCTGCTAGCCTACTAACTTGCACTTAATAATAGGGACTCTAGTATAACTAGTGTTAGCCTAAATCTACTTTTAAATAGGTATACTATAGACACGCTATAAAAGTTAATATTACTACTAGTAAAGCCTAAGAATCCTTATAGGGAGGCTATAGCGTTCTTGTCACACCTGTAGAGGGGTGTAGAGCTAGCACAAGCTGCTATTGCGTTCTAATAGTAATAATAATAGGAAGTAATAAACTAGTCCTAATATCTAGCTAAAAAGTTCCTAAAAGGTAATATAGTTTAGTTTATAATACGTAATATAAAGATAAACTAACTAAGTAAAAAGTTTAACTAGCTATAGGTAAAGTATAAAGTAATAAAAGTTCCTACTCTACTTATAGTAGTATTAGACTTACTAGGGAGCTTATATAAGACTATGTATATAGATCTACTAGAGAGAGCTACTAATAACCTGCTACTAAGCTAGAAGCTTTAGGACTTATAACTAGGTCTAATAGTTACTCTAGAAAATAAAGATATAACACTAGATAAATATAAAGTAGAAGAGATCCTTTATACAAAGAATATAAGAGGAAAAGGGAAGTATTAAGTCCTAGTAAAATAGAAGGGGTATATTAATCTAATATAGCACCTACTAGACGTAGTATAGGATACTAAAGCTCTAGATAAGTTTAAGGAATAGTATAGGGATACCACGTATAATAATAGCCTAATACGTATAAAAACTAAAAAGTAAGGGTAAAAGAAAACTAGAATAATAACTTAGACCTTTATTATAATTAAGAAGTAGAAAGGTATTAGAGAAATCTTTTAATTATTCTTATAACACTCTAAGCAAGTGCCCTACTACTAAAGTTTTATAATATAGCTAATAATTAGGTAGTAGTATCTATACTATTACTATCTATAACTAACCCCCCTTTAGCCCCCCCTAAACTATTATTTATATTATTCTAATACCTCTATATCTCTTAGTAATAGTAGTAACGCTTATACGTAGTGTAGGTAGGGGATAACTTAGTTAATAAGTATAAGTAGTAGTAGTAGTAGTGTTAGGAGGAGGGTAGTGCTTTAATAGCTTACTAACGCGTAGTACCCTAGGCCTAAAGAAAATAAATATTAGAATAGATATAAAGGGAATAAGGGAAAACTAATACTAATAATAAGAGTCTTAATACCTTAGGTAGTGCGCTTAGTAGTGCTCTTAAGCCTATTAATATAAAGGTTAGTTTAGGCCTAGGTCTTGTTTATATACTAGTTAATATACTAGAAGGTAATACTAGTAGTAGTAGTAAGCTATATAATATTATTATTACTATAACTACTATATAAAGGTGTAATAGTAGACTAAAGAGGAAATACTAGAGTACTAGTAGTAGATAGAATAATAGTACTAAGCTAATACTAATTATAGGCGCGTAAGTAAGTAGTAGGGGCAAGTAGAGCAACAGCGTTATTAGTTTAAGCCCTTAATATAAGATCCTTAAAATAATAGTAGAGCTAGTAGAACTATAGTATAAACTAGTAATAGGTACCTTTAGTAGGTTTCCCTATAAAAGTGCTAAGGGTCCCCTTCTTTATAATATAAAGGTAATCCTCCTAGTAACTATAATAAAACTAAAGCTAGTTGCAGAGGGCTTAGTAAATATTAGGATTATTAGTAAGGATAGCTTCTAACTAAGTATAAGTCTTATAGCTATAATAGCAGGACTTATATAAGCGCCCTAGATATAGTTAGAACTTGCTATAAAGAAAATAAAAATTAAGGGAAACTTACTACTACCCTCCTAATAGTTACACTTACTAAAGAGATAAAGCTAGTTAATATACTAATTATAGGGAAGTAGCTTTATAAAGCTACTATTATATTCCTTATTATCTAAGTTACTAGAAATAATAAAGCTACTAAGTAACTAGGTTTAGGGAGATATGTGCTAAATAAAAAGTTAGTATAGGAAATATAGGGAGAATATTAGAAGTACGCACCTTGTCTTAGTAGGCCTAGCGTGGGGTCTAACCGCCTTATAGTAGATTACTACTACTAGCACTAGTAGCTATAGATAAAGATATAATAGGGACTAGATAGGCAGGATTAATAGAAAAAGATTAGAGAAAGGGCTAATTAGTAGGGAAAATCTGTTGTATAATAAAGTAAGTTTAGGAAATTTATAGTAGGGTAGGATAGCTATATTAGAACTTTTATAGTAGGGTGCTAAAATAAGCGCATAGATGCCACGCGCGCGTATTACTTAATATATAGGCCTGTTATAAATTAGGAAGGAATATAAAGATATAACAATAAAACTAAAAAATATAGTAATAAAGCCTAATATAGATTATAGAGGACAAAGATATAACCCTAAACCCCTAGAAAGACAATTTTATAATAGTTTATAGGGGAAGGTTAGGGGTATATAAAGGACTTAGGCTTATACCTAAGCCTAGGTCTAACACAAGATAGACTAAGTCTAACACTCCTACTAAGCAAACACACTAGACACCTATAAAAAGGCGTGGAGGGCTTATCTCTCCTTTAAGATACTAAATACTATTATTAACGCTTATTGCATTCTCCCTTAAGGCCAGTCTATAACATCTAGTAAGGAAGGTTTACTAATTATATACCTTCTAGTAAGGGTAGCTAAAGCTCTATATATATAAGTCTAATTATAGTAGAGATAATCTAATAATCTATCTCCTAAATTATTCCTAACCTTAGTAATCCAAATTTCTACAAATACTCTATAAGAACTTAGGAGAAGGTATAATACTAAAGATACCTCTATTATTAATAGCCTTCCTAGGGATAGCTTACTACTAGGAAGATTAGAGGTACCTAATACATATTTACCTTAACTAGAACTACCTTAAGTCTATAATAAGAAGAATAGGAGGGGGTATAATTAATAAAAGAGGGACTATAAAAGATCTTTTATAAAAGCACTTTTAATATTTTTTTATAGAAATAGAGAAAGTAGATTTTAAAGTAATATATATCTCTAAAGCCCTTATAATACTTTAAAGAATATATTATACCTCTAAAAAGGCTAAAGAACCCTCCTTTAAGCTATCCTAGGCTATATTAAAGTAAATAATACTTAATACCCTAAAAATACTTATATAAAGGTAGGTATAAGCCTATACTACCTTAAAATCTTATAAGTAGTACTTATAGTAATCTTTAATAGAATTATTAGATTATATAAAGCTACTATAGAAGGAGCTTGTAATAATAGTGCAGAATTATTCGCCTATTATTCTATGCCAAGTTAGCCCTAATAAAGGCCTAACTTGTTAATATATATAGAGAGCAGCTCGCCTATATTAGGATAGGTATATTCTTCTTATCCTTTTATACAAGACCTATAGGTGTAGGAATCCTATCCTTTTCTGTACAGACGCGCACTCCTATATGCCCTTGAGTCGTATAGGATACCTTTCGGATGCCCTACCTACCTGCGTCGTTACACTTACAGCGAGCGGTAAAAGATAAGTGGATTCCGCATCTCTAACACAAAGCGCCGAGAATAGGCCAACGGATGACGTGTGCTCACCAAGATGGCAGGCTTATAACTAGGGGCGGATGAATCCTTCCTTTTCTCCTTTTCATCTAGAAGGGCCGTTCGATTTTGCTGAGCAGCACACTGACCCTTGGTGGTTAAGCTGTAATGAAGTAAGCTGATAGTTACGCGAAAGTCGTAAACCTACCGGTAGAGCTCAAGCTTGCCCCATCAGAAAGCGCTGAACCATCAAAATCAACGCTAATACATTGGCTCCCTCACTCTCCGGGAACATCATGATTCATGACATAGAACCTCCCCATTCTAGCGCCGTCGGCATCTCCAGGACACCGGCAGGTCAGAGGTAGCATAAGATAAGTAACCTGCATAAATTAGCCAAACTACTAATTTCTTGAAAATCCTATGGTACCGGTAGTCGGTAAAAGTGCTCACCCGTGGGTCTACTTGCAAGCGGAATTAGGGCGGTGCTCACTGTTGTTTCTGTATCATCCATACCACCTGCTATCCGACGGTGGTGACTGCGTTACCACCATTGGCGACTCCCCCCATCCCGGGTTGACCGGGATACGTCCCAATGGAGACTACCGGTAGTGGGTAGGGTAGGTACCGGTAGAGCCACCTTTCGCGGGCTCCATAGATTCTTTAATCAATACTTTTACATTACTCACGGAGATTAGAAACCCTGTATTCTATCTATTTATATGCAAATCTATAGTAATTTGTATGGTAATTATTACACCCCTAAGTTTCTTACAGGGCCTATCTCTTAGTCCTTGTTAACTCGATATCAAGTCTACCTTGCAACGACTCTGCCACTCATAGTCACCACGACTAACGATCCGAGTTGGTTCCTAGGGCTAGCACCCTGACTTGAACCTACCCTTGGCCCGAATCCCCTAGGTATATAGGCAGCATCTCGCCTATAGATAGATAGACATGTTTCTCTTGTCCTTTTGCACAAGACCTATAGGTGTAGGAATTAATCGTTCTATCTCTGTGGTGCATGACTTGAAGGTTTTCATCATTTGTGTCTTCCTTGTCCTTTTCTCATCCTCGTCTATTCCTATGCATGACTTCATGTATTTGACAAGTGAAAAATGTCAAAAGAAGCCACTGTTTTTTTCTCTTATCTCTCTACTTTCAATGGGAGTTCACTAATCGGCATCTTCTACCTTCGACCCCTCACCCATCATCATCTGAGTAGTCCATTCACATGCCCATATCCAACCCCCTCAAACCCATCCCAACACTCTGCACACTGGTCAAACTAATCCCCGCCGCCCGCTGAGCAAACCCTACCACATCCTGCACCCGCCTTCCCCGCGCCACCCCCACAGCGACAGCCCCACAAAATGTATCCCCGATCCCATTTACACTAACCACCTCGTCCGGGCCCAGCACCCTCTCCGGCTCAAATAAGCGGACATACAGTCCACCCACACCGGCGCCCTCGTCATCCTCCTTGTTGGAGGCCGGAGCCCAATTCCGCGCGAGAACAAATTCTCGTTCCGACTCGCTGGTCAATTCGGTTGCGCCAGCGGGTAGTAATTTGGTCAGAAGCACGCCTTTTGCGCCTAGTTTGGTGAGGATGGTGGGGAAGAAGGGGAGGAGCTTGATGGCTTGTTGGGGGATGCCTTGGTCGACGAGATCGGCATTTGTTATGTAGGTAAGAGGCACGCGGAGACCTGTTGATGGGATTCCGAGGGCGTCGATGACGGCGAACCATTCTGGAGTGTCGAAGAGGGAGTTTGAAAGGGCATGAGAGTGGAGGGCGGTGAGTTCGTACGTGTTTGGTGTTATGATATCTGCAAGAGGGGTGGGGTAGACGTGTGGTTTGGTTCCTTTGGTAGAAATAGAAGATGTGGAGGGGAAGATGCGCAGCGCCTTGGCAGTTGATACAGGCTCGAAGATCGTGGTTGTGGAAGGGTGGCGGAAGGCTTGAAGCCAGGTGTGTAGAGCAGTGGAAGACCAGTTTGCGTCTGCTACGAAGACGGAAGGCTGAGATGATAAAGTCGACGAGATGGTCGTGCTGATCTTCTCTTGTGAAAAGTTTTCCAAAATTGACATGTCTGCCATAGCGAGGCTGAGATCTTTGTTTGCGTTGTTGACGGCGACATATTGCGCTGTTCGTGCAGGCTTGGGCAGTGTTTCAATGCCAGCGGTGGACATGCCTTCCTCCAGCAATTGGCTGACTGCAGCGCGACCGCTCAAGTCATCCCCCACAGCGCTGTGAAGACGAACATTGGAGCCGAGCAGATGTACAGCTTTTGCGATATTGTGAGCTACACCGCCCAGCGTCTGATTGATCACTGCAGGGTTCGAAGTATGTGGTACAGGGTCGGTGTGACTCGTCGAGTTGTCAAAAGGAGCATAATCACACGAAAAGTCAACTGCGAGAGCACCTGCTACAACCACATCAGGCTTTGGTGAAGCACTTGAGATTGAAGACGCAGGGGTAGTTGTTCCTGACCAAGATGCATTGCTCAAAAGGTCATCGACAGTAGAAGCAGAACTTGATCGAAGTGGAGTGAAAAAAGGAGTACCTCTACATACTTACATCAGCGCCAGCAAATAACTGTTTACCAAGAGTGTCCGGCTCACCCTCGGGCTTCTTCTTGTTTGGACTCTAAAATGGCGAGCTCTCGGGCTACAATGGTGGCGCGCTTGACGTTGGACTCGATCAAAGCTCGGTTGGCAGGTATGCTCTTGCCTTTGCTAAGCTCCTTGATCTTAGCAAGCACAAAGGGAGTGTTGTCTTTACCAGAGATGTTGGATGCATTAGCTTGGCGTAGCGCTTCCTCGATGATGACATCCATCTTATCTTTGGGAATGGCAAACTCTGTGGGCACAGGGTTCGCAAAGAGCAGACCAGACGTGATCTGGAGTTGATGTTGTGCGTCTGACGATATTAGCTGATGCCCTTTTCCTTGGCCGGTGAAGACTCACGAATTATCGCCGCAGCCTCGACCTCATTTGCTATTGTGGTAGGACTCTTCACGCCACTATCCCTGGACCAGAAGGCAGGAAAGTCTACATTGCCAGACCGGCCATCTGCAAAGGTACCAACACCAACACCCTCTGTCTCGAGATATTCAATGGTTCTGGGTATATCAAGGAAACTCTTGCAGCCGCTAGAAATAACAGTCACTGGTGTTCTACCAAGCTCGGTCAAATCCGCAGATATGTCCATAGTCGACTCTGCGCCACGATGGACTCCACCCAGGCCACCAGTGCCAAATATTTTGATACCAGCAAGTTGCGCAAGGAGCATGGTACCGGATATGGTAGTACCTCCATTGAACAGCGTATTGGTGAGGCGCATACCACAGACATAGCCGAGGTCTCGTCTGGAGAGCTTCAGCGTGTCTGATTTCCCAGCAGACGAGGCCAATCTGATGAGTTCTTCTGGACTCAGGCCTACACGTGCGACGCCATCTAGAATGCCTATAGTGGCAGGGACACCACCGTTTGTACGGACTACGCTTTCGAGAAGGGATGCGAGGGCTACATTGTCGGGGTATGGGAAGCCTGGTGAGCCAATTAGCTTGGCTCAAGTTCCGTATGCCTCACAGAATCCATACCGTGCGTGTAGATGGTCGTCTCGAGCGCGACCACGGGCTTTTTGGAGTGTAGAGCTTCACGCACCTCTTCTGAGACACGGAAGAAGCCATTGTTGGTCAAATGTCGTCTTCCAACAGAAGAGGCTGAAGCCAAGCCACGACTTCGTGGAAATACCCGTGGTCTGCCAATGGCTCTGGCTAACAACCGCATCTTGTCGTGAAGATTCTCAGACCAAGTAAAGTGGGTGTGGAGAGTTCGTGGGGGGTGAGGCCTAGTGAAACACGCATGGGGGCATGACCTAGCGCCGGAGGTGTCTAAGCAACTCCGATGTGAACACGACGCAATAGCGCACGCATAGAAAGTCGAGCGTGAACAACAGCAACCGCAACCGCAACCGCAACAGCAACAACTTCCGTGGTGTACCCAACACCTGTCCCATCCTTGCACCCCAAACCAGCGAGCTCATCGATGAAAGGATAGCTCAATTGCTGCCCACGATGAGGTCAACTTCCCTCTTTGCGAGCTGCATCGCCGCACTCTCGAGCTTCGCATGCGCCGAACTAAACACGTCGGAACCACTACTATCCAAGCAACTGCTCCCCAGCACGTTCAAGCCGCCGCAGGTCTTCAAGAATGCCAATCTCGTCCGGACGACCAATCTGGACAAGGCGTACCCCAGAGAGACCATCAATGTCATCATTGAGAACATTGACTCGAAACCGCAGTCGGAATACTATCTGCCATTCGAGGCCAGCTTACTGTCCAAGATTGGCGGCTTCGAGGTACGGGACAAGAAGGCGGTCGAAAAGGGCAAGTTTAAAGTGGATGTCGTTGGCCTAGATCAAGACAGGTACGTTTTCCTTTCGCGCAATGGCATAACATGATATGCGCAAATACTCAATCCTGTTGTGATAGTTCTACCGAGTTCTACCTCATCCACCTCCCTGAACCGCTCGCTCCCAAGGCCCAGCAAACGCTCACCATCACCTACTCCGTCCTCTCCTCGCTCAAGCCCGTCCCCGCCCAGCTCGGACAGTCAGACCAGCAATACCTCCAATACATATTCAGCGCCTACGCGCCTTCATCGTACACCACTGATCTCCAGAAGACGAAGATCAAGTTCCCCAACGCTGACGTAGCCGACTACACCAATCTGCCCGCCGACCTCTCCACCGAGAACAAGGCCTCGCCACAAAAGCAAGGCTCATCCTTCACCTACGGTCCCTTTGCCAATATCCCCGCTGGTGCCCAACAGCCCGTGAGCGTGCGCTACGAATACACAAAGCCCCTGACCCATGCAACCCTCCTCGAACGCGATATCGAGGTCAGCCACTGGGGCGGCAACCTCGCCACCGAAGAGCGCTACTGGCTCGTAAACCAAGGCGCGGCCCTCAAGAACCACTTCTCGCGTGTAGAATGGCAAAAGCAATCGTACCTGAACCCCGCCACCTATGCTCTCAAGGGCCTCACACTGCCCCTCGCCCCTGGAGCCGTAGACCCCTACTTCACCGACGACATCGGCAACGTGTCGACGTCGAATTTCCGGCCTGGCAGAAAGGAAGCCCTGCTCGAACTCAAACCCCGGTACCCCGTCTTCGGCCAATGGAAATACTCCTTTCGCGTAGGCTGGAACGCAGACCTCTCCACCTACCTCCGCAAACTCTCCACCTCGGACACCTACCTCCTCAAAGTTCCCTTTCTCGAGGGACCCCGGTCCGCAGAAGGCATCAGCTACGAGCGCGTCCATGTCCGCGTCATCCTCCCCGAAGGCGCAACCAATGTCCACTTCTCCACCTCGGTGCCCCTTGTCGCTAACCAGACTACCCTGCACAAGACGTTTATGGACACCCTGGGCCGCACCACGCTGAGCCTCACGGCCATCAACCTGGTGGACGAGTGGCGGGAGAAGGAGTTGCTGGTGAGTTACGAATATGGCTGGGCGGCGGGCTTTAGGAAGCCGATTGTCATTAGTGTTGGTGTGTTTGCCTTGTTTGTGGCTACTTGGGTGTTGGGCAGTATTGATACTAGCATTGGCCGGAAGAAGAATATTTGAGGGAGAGGGTGGTAAAGAGAGAGAGAGAGAGAGAGAGAGAGAGAGAGAGAAAGAAGGGTGGGGAGTGGGGGTGGTTGGTGGGACTGGAATATGGGGTTTGTTATATATTAGCAAGTGAGTCAGTCAGTCTTGTGTACCAAAATGTATTCAGCATTTCCTTTTTGAGCATGCAGGCAATACCGGTATATAAATAAATTAGAAGCGATTTCTCTTTCCATGCTAATTTTCCTTTTCATCATCAAACCCGACTCCGAGTACTCCTTTCAACCAAACATAAACACAACCGACATACTGCTCCCTCCCCCACATCTTTCCCCCCCAACCCCCCAAAATCAAAAAGGATCCTCAACCCCCCTAACCCTACAAACATGCCTACAAACCACCCTTATCCTACCCCCGCTCTTCCCCACTTTCCCCCTCACCCCCTGCGCAATCTTCTCCGCAACTGCTACACTCCGATGCGTCCCAAAAACACAACACACACTGAGCGCCAACTCTAAGCCCGTTTCCTTGTTGCTGTTGCCATTGCCGTCTCCGCCGTTTCCCTTGCCGTTTCCGTCACCGATGTAGAAGAACTGCAAAACGTCACGGACAGCGCGACGTACAGCCTTGGTGGCACGCGGATCTTTCAAGACGATGTCTTGGACGAGTGGGGCGATGCCGGAGTAGAAGGAGCAGATGGAGGGGGATGGAGGGGTGAAGGGGCGGGCGTCGATGGTGTAGAGGTGGGGGATTGGGGGGGAGCAGGGGGGAAGTTGGGATGTTAGGAGGGAGGAGATGTTGTCGGGGTAGGTGGTAGTGGAATAGGTTATGATGTAGACTGTTGGAAGGGAAGGGTGGAAAGTCAGGGGCGGGGGAGGTGGAACCATGGGTAAAGTGTTGTAGGGGTGGGCAGGAGGCTTGTGAGGGTTGGTGATGAGTGTGGATTGGGTTGCTGGTGGCTGGCGGTAGATGGTCCTGTCGGAGCCAGAGGATGTGATGCGTCGTCTAGATTGGTGGGCCAAAAAGTCACTGTAGACGGTGTGATCCTTGTCGTCACCGTTGTAGGGATGCCGAGTAGCACGTTGTCGTGTCTGGCGCTCGGCTTCAGGATGATACCGTCTTTCCTCATTACCGGCATCGCACAATGAAAGACACCGTTTTCTAGCCTTGAAGGCGGGTATGTCGAAGTGTACGTGGCGCCTGTCGACGATTTGGGCGCCGTCATATGGCCCGATCAAGGCGTATCGTGCCGCTTCGTAGTTCTGAGCTGCGGTTTTGATACCCCCCAGGGCGAGTCGAGTAGGCGCTCTGAGCGAAGCCTTCACCGCAACTTGACGTGTTTGATCGTAAGGAAGCTCCTGGTGGCAAGTCAGGCATCGTTGTACCGCCCGTCTCACTCGAACAAGAGTATCGCAGGATGGGTGACAGGTGAGACAATGAGGGGGATGTTCTGGTCCCGATCGTCCGTGGCAAATGAGTGACATTGAACGAGGCGTCTGACTGTAGCTGCAGCCAGGTACGCGAGGATGTGAGACGAGGATAATCTAGGAATCGTGTGCATGCAGGGCTTCGTTTGCTAGTCGATAGGATTGATGACGGCTTGCTTGGGTAAGGCTGTGAATTATATTGTACCTTTGGGCGGGAGAGCCCGCTCTGGAAGTGATCTGAGGTGGCACATGTGTGCCTTCGCCAATTGTTGACCAAGGCAGTTGTATCGCGTGGAGTAACAGTGGTACAGTTTGCAATTGGCCGCCATTGCGAACTCAGCACGTGTGGGAAGATTTTATGGGGTGAAGAAAGGACGTTGGAAACTGTGTTGTGGCAAGGGAAAGAAAGAAGTCAAGTGTTGAGAGAGGACGAATCTAACTAGCGCATCTTGGTGACGAGGAAGGCGCACAAAGTCGGCGACAGAAGAAAGAAAAGGCATAAGATGATCAGGCAAAGGCTGAATCAGGTAGTCCACATTCAATGTTTCAAGATACTACTGGCCACCAACACACCGCCGGTGGACTTCTTCAGCGCGTATCTCCAGGCTGCCGCCTCCGATGCGGGTGCATGACGACCACTTTCACACCTCTTCTTCTCATCTCCTGCCCAATAATCTCCGCCGTAGCAACACTGCGATGCGTTCCTGCATGGCACGTCGTCTGTACATGTGCCACGTGATAACCGGCATTGAGGTAGTTGATGATTTTGGTAACTGCATACTTGCTGGACGCGCCGTTAGCATATTGGTCCTGAGTTTACAACGAACCATGTGAGAAAGCTGGCCTACATGTGCCTATTCGCGGTCCGACTTTCCAAGATGACATCTTGCACCTGCGGACTCACCCCAGAGTACATCTCGCAAATCTCACTGACAGGGGGTCGCCATTTCTGGCACCAGATTGTGAAAAGGGCGGGTACGCGAGGGGGGAGCACTCGATCCAGCGATGACATGCCATGCGGATCATTGTATACTCTTTCGCTGGACCAGGATATGATATACACTGTTTTCTGGGTTCCTGCGACTTGCGGTGGTTCCACGAACTGTGGCTGAGATGGTGGAAACTCTAGGCCAAGTGGCGGTGGTGGACGTAAGAATTGATCGCTTCGAGGTAACATTGCTGGAGCTTGTTGTGGGCAGATGACTTCGTGGAAGTCGAATGATGATTGATTGTCAAAATACGTATAACAGTCAAAGTAGTAAGAAGAGGTGAGAGTTCTGTGATGCGTGTAGGTGCAATCAGCGCAGCAAAAAGCCATGGCGGATATCAATTGATGGTGACCGTAACTTCAAAGAGCTTTGCAAACGCGGAGACTCGCTGTGTGATAGCCCCAGATCTGCCACCTTTCCTAGGACTTGCTTGAGCTACAACCCTCATGTATGAGTCAAACGGTGGCCAATTTGACTCACGACATATCATCCACGATTGCCCTAATCCCACCTCTATCTAAAAATCCCATGGCATCCTAATGTTCGACATTGCAAAAGGTCAAAATTGGGAGAAAAAGAAACCCCATATCCTGAACCCCGATCCTGCTCTCTATGGACACTTGCATGGAAGCGAACAATTCCCACGCTTCAGATCACCCCTCTGAGCACCTAGCAATGCCAGCATCATAAGCTCCTTCGCAACTCCTTCATCAGTCATCCACGGTACATGGTGTCTTGTATCATGTCCTAGTTCAAACAAGGCCACCGTTGGTGATGTTTATAAACCCGGCGCATAGTAACAGTGAGCCACTGCCTCGCGGGTGGCCCTGCCTACGAGTCCAGAGCTTGCAGATATCTCTAAATCAGGAGTATGGGAGGGGATTCGTTGAGAGCGGTTGCAGTTCGCGTGGCTCCCATGCCGCAGCCACGCGTGTACATGCCGGAGAGGTGGGCTTTGTGGCGAATAATCAAAGAGAGGGATGGCCAAGAACGAGGAATGTGATTGAAAGGGAGGAAAGAAACGAACTTGGAGAAGTGATGGGGTTAGAAACATCGCTTAGACGAATGGATTTAGAAACCCTTTAAAGTGAAGGATGGATGTGCCGTCAGCTGTTGTACGTGAGAAGGACGGTCACCTTATATTCGCATCCTTTCCTGTCCAGTCAACCCACCATGACCAGCCATGGCTACAACATCACAGCTTCCCATCCCCCTTGATAACATCCCTGACCAACTTCAACCCCTCGAGCGCAAACCTGACCATATTGCCCTCTCGCTCGCTAGTTCCAGTTTCAATCTCGCGCGTGACCGTCTTCCTACCCTCCATCGCCACAGCCAGGGCGCAATAACCCGGTGTACGATTCCTAGTCTGCCCGCCAGTTGGCCCAGCAGTCCCGCTCTCACTGAGAGTATACGTGCTACCGAGCGTCTTGCGCGTGTGTTCTGCGAGCCCGGAGACAATGACCGGCGTTGGTCCTTTGTAGTCTTTGATGTGCGCGTCCGTCCAGCCTGCAAAGGCGATTCGCGATTCGAGTGTGTAGAGGGTGAGGCCGCCTTTGTAATAGGTTGATGCGCCGGGGAAGGAGAGGAGTGATGCCGAGATCAAGCCTCCTGCTGCCTGTGTTTGAGGGTCAGAGGCGGGTCATGGAAGGATTGCAAGGGTGTGTCGGTACGGTTTCTGCAACTGAAATGGTTTCTTTGCGTTCTTTGAGGAGCGTGGCTATTTCCTGAATGACTTGCTTCAGCTCTTCTGGCGGGAATGCAGTTGACATGTTGGTGCTGTGGATGGTGGTTTATTTGGGGGTACTAGGTCGTTTCAATTCTCCTTTCCAAGGTACAGGAATGGTAGTCTGAGAGGATTGTACAGTCTTTAATGTGCAGAGGCAATTTAATTAATCTCCTGGGTGAATGCTGACCGAGTATCCGAACCTGTGTAGCTCTGACTCCGGGTAAGACAACGAGTATGATGTCGTATGGCGGGGCAACAAATCCGTCTAAGCTCAATTGATATTGTAGATCGCTACTATTTATCCCAAGATACATCGGGAGGACATCAAGCGCAATTTTCTCTCTAAACATCGAATTTCATGTGCATCGTCGGATTTACTTCATGCAGAGGACTGAATATGCGGCTACTCAATCGAAAGCGAACCTTTCTTCACCCCTTTTCATCAATCTGATTGGAACAGATACACCACGTAGTTGGAGTGTGATGATAGTAGCCACCTCATTCTTGATATAGTAGTTGGCCCTGTCCACAGCTTTTTGATACAGTTCCCTCCTCTCATTTCCGCCCTTGGGCATCTTCTCAACCTCCTCGTCTGTAGCAAAGTCGTCGACTGCAAGTTCGACACTGTATTGAGTGAAGATTGCAGCCAATACTGCCAAAATCTCAACCTGGGCAAACCGTCGCCCAATGCAGGAGCGAAAGCCGTCACTGAAGGGAATGTACGAGCCCTTGACAGGTTTGAACAACTGTGCCGAGGTATCTTCGCCAGAAGGTCCACGTAGATCCTCGTCGTCGTAGCCGATATCAACAAAAGAATCACTGCTCTCTGAATCCACAATCCAGCGTTCAGGCCGGAAGCAGTCGACATCTTTAACCCCATTGATCGAGGGTGCGTTAGGTGGTGCCGGCCAGTATTTCGGATTGCGATGGACTGCTGCACTGAGGAAAACGTGAGCGTCTCCCGGCACCATATACTGCTTTCCTCCAATAGTAAGCGATTGCGGTCGGCCAGGGGCCGTAGACTTGGGGATATTGATGATAGGTTGCAGTAGCCGAAGCGTCTCGTTCATAACAGCTGCTGTCATGCTTCCGAAAAGCTTCTGGAAATGCTCCTCGTACTTCCACTCGCTGATCGGCTTGCCTTCGAGAATCTTGTCGAGATCTTCCTGGAGCCGCTTCTGCGAGCCCCAATTCATCGCCAGAAAGATCATGGAGAAGTGGAGTGTATTTGCCGTGGTTTCGTGTCCAGCCAGCATGATCACAAAAGCATTCCCTTGAAGGTCGCTCTTTGTTATCTTCGTGTTCTTCTCGTCGATGATTCCGCTGCCTCGAATGAGGGCGTCAAACAAGTCCATGCCACCTTTACTCTCGCCAGACGCTACCTGACTTCGCTTGATCTCGTATAGGTCGTTCATGTACTTTCCCCATTCACCAATGGCCTCTCCTACAGTACGATGCAGCTTGATAGGAGATCTCACTGGCTCAAAGTCAGTCCAACACTTGTAATGTATACCATCACTCGCAAACAATCCACTTACGCAACCAATTTTGAGATAAAATTTGAGTCCACGTGAAGTTGTGAAGTAGCTCGCTGAGAGCCTCACGATAATTCATGGTATGGCCCGCAGGCATATCAGACCCCACACTCATCGACTTTCTCCCAGTATCCTTTTCCATAACACTCTGATCTTCCTCGTGGGGCCACTTCACGCGAACATCAAAGCCAGCACTACTAATGACGTAGAGGGCAAAGTTCATGGCGGCGGATGAGGGATCGGCCACAGTCTGATTGCCTCGTCCATCGCGTCCAGCCCAGAGACTCAACAATGCCTGTGCGTGATGAAGGGATTCCGTGAAAACGAGCTCATTATTTTTCTCGCCGAAGCTTGGTGCAACCAGTTTACGGTGCATGCGCCAGTCCGGTCCTTCAGTAGACACGAGATTCTTTCCATAGAGATCGAGAGAGCCATACATTTCTAGTGGCTTTGGAAAGTCGTTCCGACGCGTAGTGATTTGAGTTATGGCTTCTGCATCGGCAACATAGACATTAATACTGGTAGGGGATGCAACAATGAAGACGTCCATTCCTAGCTTCGCAAAGGGCGCATGGCCGCTGATGTAACCCCATTCGGGATGCAAGAGACTGTAGTTCAAATGAGTAAAGTGATGATGCAAAGGATTTGCCAAAGACCTACTCCATCCAAAGGCCTTGCATCGACTTTGGCAGACACTTTTGCAACAATGGCGTCCATATCTTGTATGTAGCCAGCCAGAAGATGTTGTAGAGATTCAACGGGGACAATATCACAGGCAGGCCAGAACTCTTGGCTAGCGCAACGTTGCGCTGGAGGCTCCTATATCTGCTGGCCACTTGGTAGAGGATAAAGGTTGCCAGAGCGGCCAAAATCAAGGTGAACGCCACCATGGCTTCCCGTGCGCGTCTGAGACGTCGCGCCGAGGTGGATCAAGTTAACGGGGAAATGGGAACCACGAGAATCGGAAGAGCAGAGAATGGAAGTTAAATTGTGGGAATATGCAGAAGCATGGCCAGTGTTGGTGGAGGAGCAGCGAGGCTGAGTTGTGACGTAGAGACATTTTAACACGCCACGACACCATGCTCGGTGCCTCAGCCTTCGTTTCGGTGTCTCGGTTAGCACGTGAGAGCTCGCAGAATTGGCCAAAAGTTGGGTTGCAAAAGTGCAACATTTGTCTGCATCGTTCTCTTGTTCGAGAGAGGAGGTGAGAATTGAGTTGAGGTTCAGATCTCGGCCTACTTTGATGTGCTGTGTTATCCCGACGAGGTTGTCCTGATCTCTACGACGTCTTGGCACATACACATGGCCCGGGGAATCGAAGGTCGCACAGGTCCATGTCACAAATCTCACACATGTCACGGGGCTGCGCTTGACACTTCGCCTTGCACATGTCGCCCATTGTCGAGAGCTGCTTGCTGTACTACCTACACAGGGTACAAGGCCACTACCAGCGTATAGTACAAAACGTAGCTAAGAGAGCTTCGGAAGCTGCATCCCCTTCCCTGCATTTTTTGCAGCTTCGTGGAACCTTTGCCAATGCCAATACCGGTAACGGCGAAATCGACGACCAGGGCAAAGCAAAGAAACGAGCCATGTTGACAGTGTCATCTAACGGCCACGGCGAGAAATTTGCGATGCACCGCCGCATAGCCCCCTGCTTGGCCATTCACTGTGAGCAGACACAAGACAAGTCCAACTTTACACCGTCGCGCCGTCAGGTTTTCTTTGCTTGTCTGCAGTCCGCGGAGGTGTGCTGCTCTTGGCGAATCATTTCTCGTTGCTGGCCTATGCTTCCCGTGTTGAATTACTTTGCCTTTCTCGAAAGCAGTCATGATTTCCCGAGATGGCTACAAAAGTCGCCAGGTCAGAGCATGAGCTACGAGCTACTACACCGGTTCGAAGGCGATGTCTTCGTTCAGTGGTGGAAGTGAGCTCGCTTTTTTGTCCCTGGTATAAACAACACTGTCTTGATGGCATGGACGCAGTGTTCAGGGAAGATGCCTTGGAGGCTTGGAACGCCTCCTCGATCGATCCACGTGGGCAGGGCACGATTCTCCATGGAACCGTGGAGCCAGGATCCCTTTCCACTTCTTTCCACCCTTTCCACGAGGGCCGCAGGTTTGACCATGCTCAGCTGGGACTATCTCGGTCATGTGGCACGATGCTCGGACTTGGTCTCTAAGAGCATCTCGCAGTCCGTTGTTGTGATGCAGACCGCAACTTGCCAAACAGTCTGCTTCCGATAAACGACCTGTCATCTGACAGGAGACATGCGACGGTCTTGCCCCGAATGGCATAGCACCTCGACTCTACCTGGCCTCTTTGAACGCAAACATTGGGTGCAGCTGACCGCCTACTTGGATTTTCAGATGCACACCTAGCTTTAGACAGCTTGCATTACTCTACAGTCGGCAGGCTTTCGACTCGCGGCCTCCTGACGCCATCTGGGCGTACCAAGTCTCGACAGTGTGGACAGAGGGTCTTGGAACTAAGGAGTGGAGAGAGGCGACGCCCCTCACCGGGCTCACCCATCTCCAACCGGGCCTATGGGACATTGCGGCATCCTTCACAAGCACTATGTTGGATAGGTAGGATGGAAAAGGGTTCTGGAAGGGGTAGAGACGCACAGCCATAGGTACTAAGTAAGTATGTAACAGGTTATCTTCTTTTTTTCTTTGGCAGTTTGAAACCTGCTGATCGCTGATCTCGGATCAGAGGAAACACGGCTATGTACCTACCAGATGCTCATGTGGCCACGGAGAATCGGCCGTACTTGAGTCGTTGCAATTTCCAGGGCTTTGAAGATCAATGCAAATACTAGAGTAAATTGCATTGATGAGCAATTACAGAGATACTACCATATGTGTGTGTATGTGTGTGTAACTTAGTCAGAGGTCAGCCCTGGTGTCAAACAAGCGGATGGATCCTGGAAGACAGTCGCTGGCGTCAGCAACCTAGGTACTGTGCCAGGTACAGTATGTACACGGTGTCCCATTCCGCCGATGTTCTCGAAGTTGTTGGTTCCGCAGAGTGGATACACAGTAAAGCTCGGGACGCAGCAAGCCAGTGCATGCCCGGTGCGTTCGGATCTACCTCCTTACGGCCAGCAATTGGCTGCCCATGGTCGTGAAATTATCCGAAGGTGGTTGTATATGAGCACACTTTGTTGGTGTCTCCATTTCAGACCTGGGGCAGAGCTCGGAGGAGCGCGCAGAAGGAGGTTGCGGAACAGGGCGGCCAGCCGTGAGGAGCACAACTTGAGAGTTGAGACACGAGGCAGCGTGCAGCGCAGAGCAGAAAAGAGCCTAGATTCATTGTGTGGTTGATGTGCGGAGTGTGAAGGGCTGGCAGCGTGGGGACCTACCTACATAGTTCTAGTGACTACGTACTACATGTGATGTACTGTCCCTACTGTACTTACATCGGGTACTATGTACTCTCTCACCCAGGCCATGGCTAGGCTTTCTCAATGCTCTACCTATCGTAGGTCTACTAGTACATAGATGAGGGTTGGCTGCACATTGGCAGACGGCTGCGGGAACAGCGCTTTGTCCTGTTGTGCAACAGAGGCGTGCATGTCAGTATCTACCCTACTACACAGTGCGTACAGCGGACGGTCCGTATGTACTCTGGCGACTGACGGGCTCAGGCATGGTGACTTGTGTGTTTGATAGGATACTCTGTAGTGGCCATCTCCAAAACGCCCTGTCGTCCACAGTGAGGCGGCTTGCACAGCGTGCGAAATGGCCACGTCGTCCACGCCGTCGGTGCCTGGACTGACACTGCACTATAGTAGGTACATGATTGCTGTGCAGTAGGTGATGCAGTTGAGTGGGTTGGGTGTCAGTGTGTACTATGTAGTATGTGTGTGTGTGTGTGTGTGTGTGTGCTCATTGCTTGCCACTCCCTCCAGCTGCAAGGCCTCTCTGCGCAAGCGAGCTGCAGGTGGCGGTTGAATCGTGCTTCATTCTGCACTTACTCGCCCTTGTGTCGCTCAATCGTCTTGTCCACAAGCGTGGTGGCGGGTTGGGCTGAACATAGCCTGCTCCATCACAGGCGAGCGACGGCGCGCCCCTCTGCGGCCTTGAGGAGCATTCACGGTCGACCCTGAACTGTCGGTCTGCTTCTGAGGGGAGAACAGATTAGGTGGAGAGAAAGGAAGACAGAGACACACACACACAGAGAGAGAGAGAGAGAGAGAGAGCAGACCCATCACCAAAGTCCAATATGGGGCCTTTTCTTTCTCTCCATCTCTCTCTCTCTCTCTTCGCTCCTCCAGCATCATCATCATCCATGCACCCACATCCACACATCCACATCCACATCCACACCCACGCCCAGCCTTTTTCTTCATCAACACCCCCCCTTCCCCTCTGCCCATCCCCCCCCTCTCCCCACCCCCTTCTCTCTCCCCATTCCGCATTCTGCGCCGCGGCTCTTGCTTCATTGCGCGCCGCCCTGGCCCCGTCTCTGCACGGCCCGTCTTCTTAGCGCCATTGTCGCCGCCCAGCATCATCA